TCCACACACGGTTCGGCACGCGCTAGGACCGCGGTTCAACTTAAATCTGACAACGCATCTGTAATATGGTTTGCTATAAATAACACGTAAAACAAACAGAGTTCGGCCAATATATGTTTCTGTTGATGGATGCGCATTCTGGCTTCCCAATACATTGCAACAACAGCGATGTAAAAAAACGGGGACAAACCATTCACTCTTGTTCAATGCGAATGCTGTATGCTGGAATATGAGCATTTATTCCGTCATTACCCGGGTGCATCACCCTCTCATCCGAAGCGCTTCAGAACGCGCCTCAGAACGCGCGCAAATATTAAGCATCTTGGTAAGTAGGCTATCCTATAGCAGACATAGCCAGCTGAACGTACTGTATCAGTGCATTCTCTTAAAGTGACAGGATGGCTCAGGAGATGAGTCTTTGAGTTTGTAAACATCAACAAGCTAAAAAATAAAACCAAAGTTTTTTTTTATTTAGATAATGTAATCTTGTTAAAATTTATTTCATAAAATTGGTATCGGAAAAAGTATCGTTCAGGAACCGGTATCGAAGTCAAGGTATCGGTATTGAAAATTTTTGAACGATACCCAGCCCTATAAAGAAGTTATCCCGGCTACTAGGCTATCGCATGTGAGGATCCTGCAGCTGGCCGATCGTTTATAGCCTTTTCTCACAGCAGCTAGAATAATTAAATGTATATCATTTTGATGGCGGATTGTAATCCAGAAAGGATTGTGTGTTTATGAAAACATGTGCAGGGCTCGCAAAATCGCTAGCCCGACGTCCCGGGGCTATTGTGTTTTCCAGTCGGGCTACCAAAATGTATCACTGCCCTGCCCGACGGGCTATCTTAAATAGTCAATATAAAATCCCTTCCTTGATTCGCGTTGTTCACTCGCTTGTAGGGGTGAAACGGATCATAGTTTATCATTTACACGCGTTTCTAAGTCTTACCAATTGAAACATTCAGGCGTTTTAAACCATTCATGCGCATTAAGAATTCAGTTCGGTGCTCGCGCGCACACGCTCAAAGCGTGCACATGCAGAGCGGCGTTTCAGGCAGAGCACGAACACAGAATTGATTCCTCTTTCGCTTGAACGGACACATACACGCAAAATTATCTCAAAATAACCATCTCAGCAAGTATTTTCAAGTAAATGAACGTAAACACAAAGGACACCATTTTTAAAATCTGTCTTAAATCTCATTTTGTTAAAAAAAAAATTGTGTGAAAATTTTATTGAGTTGAGTGAATCGTTACATCCCTATATGCTACTAGTTTTTGCTGTGGTATCAAAGTAGTAAATTGTTCTTTAAATAATAAGTGTTACTTAAATAAAAAAGAACCATATTTTTTTTGCTCATCTAAAAAATTATCCGATCTGCGACTCAAAATGTGATATGATAATGTAATATAATCCGAACCGTGAGATTTGTGATCCGTTGCACCCCTACTCTCTTGACTTGTTATTTGAAGAAAAAATACAATATCTTTTATTCGGGCTAGTTAAATTCATTTTTGGGCTACCAAAATCTGAAGAATGCCTGCCCGAAGGGCTACTAGGGATTTTGACGAGCCCTGGTGTGAATGAAATTAAAATTATATTGCAGTTTTAAATGTGCTTCTGATTACAGATAGCCTGGGATTACAAAGATTTGTATTTTAAAGAAAACCAGTTCAAAGGAAGCATAATTTGCTTTTTGGGTTAAAAGAATTTCTTAATATGAAATTCGAATAGTATGACACTTAAGGTTAGACTGTACAGAAATTGAAATCTACACGCTAATACACACTATATACTCATAGTCACGCAATGCTGATGTTGTTAACATTACAAATTTGAGAATAAAGTATATAATAATAATAATAATAATAATAAATAATTTGCACGGTTTGATGTGATATAAGCTAACCGATCTTTAGATTTAATCACCATTGGTAGCGCGATTTATTGTAATGCTTTTTTCCTCAGTTGGTCAGAACAAACGTAGCAGACTTGTTACTTACTTGTTCAGATGGCAATATACGGTGAAAATTCTTATTTGGGTCATATATTCCAAGACGTAGGCTAGAATCTGTGACTGCGAAGTACATTAAATATCCACATCAGTGCAGTGACTGACTGCCACACATACTCTTCAGAACATTACATTCATCCGCGCTGGAGCCGTGCTGGCTCACAACCCACGCAAGGAAATACTTTTTGTACTTAAGTACAATAAATATCACATACTTTAAGACTTCTACTCAAGTAATATTCTAAACGGTGACTTCAACTTCTACCAAAGTCATTTTCTGGTAAGATATCTGTACTTTTACTTGAGTATGGCTTTCAGGTACTTTATACACCACTGACGAGGGACAATTCAAGGCAGGTTTTGCTAAAAAGTTCAAACTCAAGGATGGATCATCCAGCTGCACCTCCAGAAAAATTAAGTCCCACACTTTATATTTCTTATGATTAGGTGCAAATCGCCTTTCCTCTTCCACCGAAGAGAGGGGCGTGATGAGCAGAGCTCATTAGCAGTTAAAGAGACATGCACCGAAATGGGTTGCTATGAACAGAGCGGTTTTTGGTAAAAATGGTGTTATTTTATACGACCACTGAGGAATTTTAACCAAAGTGTGTTGCAGACATTTCATGAAGACCCTAAAGAATCATACCAACTTGTGGAAAATGGGCATCCGATGTCCCCTTTAAGATTTACACAGAGTATTCAAATCGGAGGGCTAAAAGCAGGGTAAAAAACGGCCAGTTATTCATAAGTGCATCTAAGAAAACATCATACAAAGAAAAAAAGCAGTTCATGACCCCTTTAACATCGAATACTCGACTAGGGATGCAGCGATTAACCGGTTTTGCGATTAATCGCGCTTTAAAACGTCACTGTTAATTAATCATAAAAGTTCTGCTAAACCGAGTGTTTCTGTTACACGGAATGGAACTGTGCAGCTTATGCAAAATGGAAACAAAGTTACACTAGCGGTGCACCAGCTTAAAATGACGTGCTTATCAGAGACACGGAGGCTACTACACGCATTAGATTAACTGTGACAGAGGGACCAAACAGCAAAGCTTTATTTCCACCAGAGAAATGCTTGTCGATAGTGTGGGACCATTTTGCGTACACCAAGAATGACCAGGGTGTCATTTAAATATTGCCGTAAAAAAAAAAATGTTTAATGGGACTGAATTTGTATTTAACGAGATTACAATTGAATAAAAACATTAGAAATTGATAATTAGGCTATATAACGTTACATAACGTTTCCTTTCTACGGTTATTCAAACAGCGAATAAATTATATATAGAAAGTGACATTATCACTAACTTTGATCTATAGCAAGTTTAAGCACTCTCAAAAAAACAAAACTATCGTTATAATCACTGAAGCTGTATACACTGTGTGAAATTAATCTCTTACTTACATTGTACGTGCATCTGCGCTTTGCTGTTTATGATGAGAGAATTTGCGGAATTCAGTCAGCGAACGCGCGCGCACTCAAAACTGATTAGTTTCAGCGATGACTCATCTGAACGCCTCTGATTGGCCATTGCATTCCTAAGCTCAACAGAATTGCGTGTGATTGGTTCAAATGCGCAACACTGTAAAAACGCCTCAAATGAAATACGGTGCAACATGAGCAGATCTTAATTTGATGCCACAATCGACACTGTTCATTTTCACTTTGTTAGCAACAGACGTAACAGATTGAATTTGTTTGTGCAGGGGCATTTTTGTCTAATTTAAAGGCATTTTTGCCCCAAATCCCCGCGGCCAGGGGGAGGCTAAGCCCTTTCCCCAGCCTTACACATGCTCCGCCTATGATTAGGGATAATGCACGGCTAGCTGTACACTGAACAATTTTAATGCACGACGTGAAGGCAAGAAAAACCTGACGCGAAGCTACGGCTCGTTAGCTCAGCATTCTGCCCGCTTCAGATCAGAAAGAGATGAAATAGTGCGGTAAGATCACATTTATTGATTTTCTCAGGCCACATGTAAAATCATATGAATTATTATAAAGATTATTAAAATTAATGTGTATGGATGACAGTTGATTACAATAACATTTCTGTTTCAAAAGCCAGCAATAAATAACACTTTAATATCTAAACAGTGTTCATGTGATTTTATACATTAGTAATGTTGTGAGATGAATAAATGCATAATAATCGTAAAACCGTGATTATTCCTCAGACAATAACCGTACCAACAAAATCTATAATCGTTGCATCCCTATACTCGACTAGCTGTTCGAAAACTCACCAACTAGCTGATTTAAAAAAAAAATACAAATAAAAGTAGAAATATAAATAACAATATGTTGTCCCTAGTGTTGAATCATTCACATCACAAGTTACTGCCTATTTATAAGTATACGTAAAGCGTTTTCTATGACACTGTCAGTTGTCTTGACAATAAATCATACTGCAATAATATTCATGTCTTTTGCAACAACAACAAAAAACTATATGGCCAGTTTTTCTTTCATTTGCAGTTAATGTCACACATTATTACTGTATTGTCAAAAACACACTGATCCTCATCGCACCTAATTGGGAACTTGTTGACTGGCACAAAGACAGGTGTCAGAGATTGAAAGTTGTGTGAGGAGAAAAGATACTTCAGTCACAACAACATAAAGTGGTTTGTGAGTCAAACAGGGCCCGGTCACATGTTACACTGATATGAGCTGAAGCCAGGGAGGGATTCAGTCTTATCTGAGCACACGTTTATATCACATGACCCACGGGACGGAAGGAGTTAACTCCAAACCAATGGTTAAAAGTTAAGTCTGAAACAGTCTACAACAGACACATTAGTGTAGCTACATACTCAACAAGTCAG